TGACGTTAGATAATACAGGCCAGAATTTAGGCAGTTTCCTTAAAATGTTTTTTAAATTCCATTTTCCAACGGAAAGGATATAACAATAGCTTTTTGACAGCGAAATACTTTAAATAATAAAAAAATGTTAAATACTACAAGACTGTGAGTTTTCCACTGATGTTATACAAGTTTTGAAAATTTGAAAGTTTCAGTTGTAGTACAACAAATTTTTCCATATTCTGTTGAGCATTTTTCATTATTTGTGTAAAACGGTCTCCTGAATTTACATGGTAACGAGTTACATCGATCGTTGGTTAAATATGGAATGTCTAACCACCCAAAAACTTACTTGAACTCTCTCCTAAAGGCATTGGTTTGTAAACTTAGAAAATAAGGGCGTGGTAGCCCGCGGGTGTATTGGTATTGGTCATATTATGTGGAGTACCTACTCAAGTTGCCGCCGGCGATAGACATTGTTGAACTCCCTGCGGAAGTTACAATTGTCAATCAAAAGCAGCGAATTGAAGCTGGTATTGTGCTGCTAAAGATCGTCTCCTCATAACGATCCCAATAGAGCTGCTAGCTCACTTGGGACATGCGTTGGTGGTAACTTATAAACATTCGATCATCATTTTTTATCTTTTTGGTTCGTAGTAAAACTTGCAAGATACTCTCTACAGAACAAAAAAATAGTTCATTGGATAACTTACTAAAAGTAAGTTTTCTTACATTTTAACCAAGGGACCATCATGACGTAGTTTACATTCATTTAAATTATTAGACTTTGATCCAAACTTATATGTAAATTGTTCTACTGTTCTTAGAAATATTAACCTAGTAACATTATCTTATTCATCATATGTGTATTGAAGAGAACCTTCGACCATATCTACTACTCTTTGGTGGTCTTTCAGCCATTTTGCTTGTATTGCATCTGATTGTTGTGGGTTGGACATTGAATGATGTCAATCTTAAGAAATGATCATTTAGCTTCAGTACCTTCTTAAATATATTGTAGAAAATGTAATACATTTTTTTCATCAATGACCACATGTTTCCACAAAGATCCTATAAAGACTAATAAATGAAGATCTCTCAACCTGAAAACCTACTCAATATTCATTATAAAAAAGGTATCAACAACTTTCATCAACCTCCTGTAACCAAAATTAAGTAATTAATGAATGCTTTTTAGTTGTCAACCCAACCACAAATTACTTTCTTAGACGTCTACATGGTGAGAGGCTATTTAATCAGCTGCAGGAAGGGGGTGTTTTTACATCATTCAAGCAATTAGCCTAACAGCTTGGTTACCCGAACACCTGTGGTCAGGTGATGTGTGGAGGCAAAAACCTTTACAACCCCCAAACCCAAACCTTCCAAAAACCGTTGGTAACTTTGCTGTTGTTTTAAAATTATACTTACAATTCACGTACAAAGGTTATAAAATAAGAAATAAAATTCGTGATTTACTCTTTGGCTTGAATGTATAAAACTGTTAATATCATTGATGGCTTTTTAAGGATTGAAGTATGTGATTAATATTGTTTGTGTAAGTTTAAGACATTTTGTTTTGGACATTTTCTAATTAAGTTGTAATTTGTTTCGGAACGATTTCTATCAATCATTACTATTACCTACTCGAAAATATGTCGCATTTTTTATAATTTAAACTTTGGTTTTTATCTTCCAAGATTTTACATAAAAAAATGTTCCGTTCTATCAAGCAAAACCAGTATACAAAAAACATTGACAGCCGTAATTACATTTCTTACTCGTTAGTTACTTTTGCTTTTTGTTATTGCATTTTTGTATTTTTTCAACTTAATAATCCTCTGATCTTAATAATAATCTTAGTAATGGAGGTGTTAATAATAAAACATTTGCTACATAGCAATATTGGATTTTTTTTAATCCTGCTTTTTGGCAAATTAATTCCGACAGTAAAACTTTGTTGTCAATACTTTTGCAAAGATTTAAACCGCCTCGTCGTCTCCACTTTAAATACGCTCCCTTCCGACAATTTCTTGAATTCCTACAATGCCATTTACATACTGAAAGGTACGATTCGAAATAACTCTCGAAACGTTACGAAGCGATTTAAACGTCACCTGCGGTTTCTTTGCGAGTTGACGATTTGACTTGTAAATGTATTGCCGAGGGATTCCCTATACTCCTGTGGGGAGCGGTTAGGGGCGCTTTTTGGGGGAGGTAATGTATGAAATGCTCAGTCCCTTAGCTTAAGTCAACAGTTGCCGTTGAGAGGACCAAATTGATTGAGGGATTGCTATTGTCCCCGCCCCAAGTCTCAAGTCAGTTTTCCCCCAGAATCTCACGTTTTCCACGTGCTGTGTTTTGGACACGTGAGTGGAAAATGTACAACATATTATATTAGCTTAAATTTTCAGTTTGTTTTTCAGATAGATACATTTGTTCCGACAATATTTACAAAACAACAAACAACAACAATATTTTAGTTTTTATTTCAGTTGTAGTTGTACTGACGTTTTCCAGTTATGTAACCCTGCATTTTGTGAAAATAAAAATTCTTGATTCTTGATTTCTTAACAATTATTATGTGTTATAGTTGTTCTATTGTATTACTGTTAATTTAAAACAGCGGTAGCTTTTATATTTAAGTTAATTTACCTTAAATATAGCAAAAATTACAAAACAATTGAGGTTGTTTTTGCAGACTATTTTGTGATGTTGTTTTGTTACATTAGATTGGTAATACTTTACACCCGAGTTTTATAGTTTCTCTCATTTGAAATATTGCTTAACACTTTATAATAAATATTTTTGTACTGGTTATCTTTACAATTAATTAATATCCACTAAGTATTTCAAACCAGCTAAATTATGTTATTTACGTAACTTTTACAAAGATCTTCCTCCAAAAATTTGGGTTTTTTACTAATCGTGATGGAAAATATCCGCAAAAGATACTTACATAATTAACATAAATTGCCGTCATCAAAAGTGCACTTCAAAACGAAGAGATGATTAATTATTTTCTTATTTTCTCCGTGGTTTCTAAAATAAAACTTTACTACAATAGTGAATAAATCATGATCCATAAATAATTTGTATTCATACGGCATTAGTTTTTTTAGGTCTAACTAAATTAAAGTCTCAAAGTTGTTAAGATAATATTAGTTCATCGATTCTAGTAATTCGGTACTTTTCGGAGGGTTATCATAAAAATATATATTTATTTAACCATTGCAAGAGGAATTTATTGTACAACGGACGCCGTGTCTCTTTTGTTAGCGATACCAGCAAAACTCTTGAGCAGGTGATTTGCATGACAATCATAGTGCGGAGCCTTTGGCGAATTTCCAACCGAGCTTCGAATTCCATTCATATTACTTTTTTTAAGCTATAAAAGTATTAAAAAATCCTATCCAATATAAGTGCTGTTTCCTCAGTTACTTTTTTAATGCCGCTCACATGTACTTAAAAATTAAGTATGCGAAATCAATCAATTCGTGTGATTCATGCCGCCCATTAGTAAAATTGATTGAGTTGAAGTTTTCTTTTTCTTCAGTCCACGTATTTTCATATGTTGATTGTTGTATTGATGTACTTCCTATATCAACTTTTCAATTCCTCAGTTCAGATTTCCTGTGCACCCTACACCTTGGCGGAATGTATAGTTTTTTTCCAATTCTCATATGCACTCTTAATAATACTAAATTTAGTAAAGGTATTTTATGCGGGCTACCACCCTGTTTCTTTTTCATTAAACGACGCTATTGTATGATCACTATTACATTATATGATATATTGATTTGATCCCCTAATTCAGCTTAATACAATTATCTAGTTACTTATACTGTACAGGCATTATATAGGTTCCTGTTGTACTAAATGGCTCTGTATTGTAAGTACGAACTGTATATTGATCCCCTGATGCAGCTCAATACAATCAGTCAGTTTCTTATGCAGGCAACAGCTCTGTTCATGTTGTATTAAATGACTCTGTATTGTATGAAAGAACTGTATATTGATCCCCTGATGCAGCTCAATACAATCAGTCAGTTTCTTATGCAGGCAGCAGCTCTGTTCATGTTGTACTAAATACTCTGTATTGTATGAACGAACTGTATCCCCTGATGCAGCTCAATACAATCAGTCAGTTTCTTATGCAGGCAGCAGCTCTGTTCATGTTGTACTAAATGGCTCTGTATTGTATGAATGATGTGTATATTGATCCCCTGATGCAGCTTAATACAATCAGTCAGTTTCATAAGCAGGCATCAACTCGGTTCTTATTATAAATGACTGTATTGTATGAACGAACTGTATATTGATCCCCTGATGCAGCTTAATACAATCAGTCAGTTGCTTATACTGTACAGGGATTAGCTACGTTCCTGTTGTACTAAATGGCTCTGTATTGTATGAACGAACTGTATATTGATCCCCTGATGCAGCTCAATACAATCAGTCAGTTTCTTATGCAGGCAGCAGCTCGGTCTCGTTTGTTCAGTGAATGACGCCATGTTGTATGCATGAGACTTCTATTGAACCCTCCATTCAAGGAACGCGTTCGCCTTAATGTTGAATTTTCTCAGCATTCTCTACCTTTCCTAAGGCCGTGTTTTGTAAAGGCGCCTTCACAAAACGTATTTTGTGTTAAAAGATAGTGTATTTAGGTTAATTGACTAAAGCGTGTACAAGGTTTTTTAACTGTCAAATCGTTGATTTAGTTCCTTAAGTTGGAGATTTATGTTTCAGGTTACAATTTAATGAATTGCATTTTTCCTGTGTGATTTAGTACGTGGCTGCATTATAATATATGTGATTAAATTATTTCCATTCTTTGTAAAAAAAAATAAATATAACATATTGTTTATAGACATTTACGATATTTTATATTTTTGTCCAGTTTATTTGAAATATCAAACGCAAATCGATGTCTTAAGCTTAATTTTTTTTCATACTGTTCTTAGAATGGGTTACTTTGTTGTTTTTAATTGCGTTTGTTATCATTTTATTTTATTTTGTTACAGGCGAAGTGATCAAAAAATGAACCCGTTTGGAACAGGTAAATAAAATGTTCATCAATAACTAACTAACTAACGTAATCAATAACTTAACTATTGATAGTAGAATTTTACATTAAGGGTTGCCGTTAAATGTGTTACTGCTGCTTTCAATAACGTACGTGTGTACGTGTTCGTGTAATATTATAACAGATTTTTAGTTTGTTTTCTTTGTACAATCTTATCATTTTACGCATCAAAAGTTAAAATATATTGATCGTTTACAGGCATTTTAATTAATTCGTAAGCACCAAGCATTCAATTAATTAATGAACGGTGATGATGCGTGACGAAGCACATTACTAATTAAATACGGAGAGGGTTGCCAACTGTAGGGGTGCGACCATCGTAGACAACACCCTTAGTCCGTGTGGAAGTTGTGTTGTAGGCAATACATACTTGGAAATACCTCGGTAATTTTAAAAACGGTCCATGCTTGTGCCTGACGACTTTGAGGATTTAAAGGTGGTGCACGACAAAACGTAATATAACGTTTTTCTTAGATTGCGAATAGAACGCCTTTTGAAATATTTAATTTCAAATAAACACATTTTTTATACATAAAATTGTGTGTATAATTATAGTAGATTTTTTCTGCTAAGTTTAGGTAGCTTATGTGTTAATGTCATACGTAAACCTTGCTGCTTTAAGTTACTTCCTTATTAAGTGATTAGTCCGCTTTTGCCTTTTAGTATGTTATACCTTAAAGTAAGAGTTCTAGATAAATGATATATTTTATAGCCTATATTTATTTACATAAATTTTCGCCATAATCATTTTGACCGATTACCATAAAACATTCCCATTATATACCAAATATGAAAAAAATATATACTATCACAATATTATTTTGATATTACCATTAAAACTTTACAAAATACTTCCAGATGAAACTTCTGATAATTAGTTAACTTCTGATAAAAGTTGTAGAGAGAAAAAAACCAACCCAAACCACTTATTCAAAATCCCTACGCACAGGATTGTTAAAAGCCTTTCACATGTCAACAATTAAAATGCATTATCATCCAACAGCACTCGTATGACATTTCATTTGATTAGTTTATTTAGTAATTGAACTCCATAGAAACAATATATTGTTTAGAGGAGAACCCAAAACATTTGACAACCACTTTTTATGTTTGCGTGAGTATGTTTTGTACGAGTACAAGAGTTGACTTGTCAAGAACTGTCAATATGTCAAATCAACGCGGATAAATGTGAGGACTGTATCTACTGAAACATATGACGAATTGCTTTAACACTGAGTGAAATTATGGTTTTGTAACGGTAACAAATATTAAATTAAACCAATTTAACGATTGCCTTTCAATAGTATTTTGCTCATTCATTATAAAGTTTGTTAATACATTTTTCCTACAGTTACCTTACCTAACAATGTACATGTTCTCTCACTGATTTTAGAAAGCAAAGTGGCCAATTCGCTCATCAGTGAGACTATGTTAACATTGTTTCACTCTAATTGCTTTGTCTCACTCCAGATTTGCAACGTGAAGGCACGAAATAGTGAGCGCGTAACATGCAGACAAGGTCGTATGCACGCGAAATACGTTGGCAGCACTGGCTGTAAATCAGCTGGTCAGCTGTTAGTTGTACTGTTGTATTTGTCACTTCACATTATATGTCATATTAAAAGTTGACTTCTGTGTAAAAATATGTTACGTAAGGACTTCTTTCGAGTGAGCCAATTGCTCACTTTGCTCGCTAGTTGCACAAATAACTATTTCGTAGATTTTGAACTGAATTCATTTTGACGAATTGATTTATTTGATTGCAATTTAATTAGTGTATCGTGGTTTCCTTTCCAATTTCTTTGATTTAATTAAAATAATGAATACAGATAAAATAAAAAATGTTCTTTCAAAGGTTTAACAAAAAATTATTCAAGGACAAAAAAAACTAAAAATAGCCTTTGTATCTAATCATGTTTGCCAACTGTTTGTACTGCGTGTTTATGAAAAATTAACACACTGCAACCACTTCATACAATCTTGTGATCTCACATTCCTGCTTTAGAAGTTCTATATGATTAAAAAATTAACTTTTAATTGGAAAAAAATAAATGGTCTCGTTGTCTAAGGTATATCTTATACAAAGTCACCGTGTTATAAGATCACCGGTTCAAGCGTCGCTGGTTCGTAGTTTTATTGGACGACTTCTTCACTTCACTTTGATCTCGAGCAAGTTTTCACTTCACCGAGTCTTTTATTGAGTTTCCTGAGTTTTCCTCTCGAAAACAATAAAGAGGTTTCCGAACGGATACGCTGTTAAGCCAACTTTCTGTGGATGCAATAACATTTTTGATACCGTTTTTGTTTGTGGCAATAGTAGTTAATTGTTTTTTATTTATTTACGAAAATAAGCTTGTATTATTGAAGATTTAATGTACAACATCTTACTTCACTACATGATATATTCTTATACTAGGCCCTATTCTTATACTAGGCCCTATTCTTATACTAGGATTCTTCTTACGTATTTGATACCATGTTTTTTTTTTTAAATAGCATATAGAATTAAAGCACTTATAAGCCAACTATATCTTTTATTTAGATATATTGTCATCATATTTAAACCTTCGTTTAGTAAGTCGACATGTTTACCAAACCAGATCCTAGTTCTAGTTATGTATTTAAAAAGAGTATAACTTTTACTGTAGTAATAAGTATTGAATTAGGCCTACAACTATAATTGTTTGTAAAATCTAATGTACCGGTATTTTCAATGTATAGCAAAGTATTAAAAAACTGATTTTAAAGTATATATTCAAATAAATTTATCCTACGAGTAATTATTTGTTAAACTATTAGCATATTTAAAGTAATGTGTTCATTGTTTTTTATTTTTGGAATTTTGTCATTGACCTAGTGTACTTGTTTTATCTTTTATGATTTTACACTCACATTCCAAACTAATAGTTGCACTTAAAACATGCCAGGAATATTGTATTAATCAACTTGATAGTACTAATTTACTTTCCTGTGTTTTTGCGTTTTACATTCCGTAGAATTATTGTTCTTACAGTAATGTGATGATTTTTACAATCAAAAATAATAATCAAACTTAACAGCATTTAGTGACTGTTGTGTTAACACATGCTAAAATAATCGAGCAAATAAAAGTTCAGTTTTGACAGAATTTAACTCTTACAACAATAGACTGCAAGACTGTTAACAGCCTGTCTACAGTATATTTATCAGTCGCCATACACGCCACACGCGTGCATTTTATCAGCACTGTCAATACTGCAGCGGTGTGTGGTGTTATTGATAGCCTGCAATGTGGCTGTCTCCATTAGGCTTACTGTACAATCCAATTATGTGACTTTAGAAACAAGTATCGTTGACTTTGTGATTTTCATAGTAGAAAAGTAGTTTTGTGTTTAATTTTTTGGTGGTTAGTAAATTTAAGGAATTCATTTACCAGTTTTGGTTTAGAAAAGTTTTTTAAACTGTGGACTATTAATTCACTTTAAAAAGTGCATTGAAATAACTTGAAAGTTGGTTAGCACTACTGGATCCTTAAATTGGACTCTATATATAAATTAGAAGATAAGAATATTATTTATTTCCTTATGAGCAAATGTACAAAGGAAAAAAATCCACTCCAAGACTGTTCATCTGCGTGTGGAAAAAAACACAATAAACAAATAAATAAAATAAAAAAATATTTTTTTGGATTAACGTAGGTAAAAAAAAAACTAAAATAAACATGAACTATATCATGAGTTGAACAGATCTAAATAACTGAGGGAAAACTAATATTAAGACTAACTTACATAAACTAACTTACATAAAAAAGAATGGAAAATAGCCGTACACACAACTAAGAATACTTGAATGAGGGTGCCAGTACTGAAGTAATTTGCAATAGTTTAGTCTAATTTAGTTTTGGAATATTTGATCGACTCTCTCATGTCCTGATCTGATTTTCTCTTCGGCAGCATCATCGCTCAGTCCTATCAATTGTGAGGAGGCGAAGCCCTAATTGAAATTACCTTTTTAATTACCATTCGCAGGTGTGCTAGATAACAAACTTTAAAATGGCACCTAAATCGTAAAAATTGGTTAAGTAGGACAGGTGAAAAAATGTCACTATACTATAGAGAAACCTATAAGTATATAGATTACAAAACAGAATCAAAGAAACCTAAAACAGATAGATAAGATAAATAAATATAGATAAAACAGATAAGGAAGGTAGATTGATTAGTTTTAAAGGACATTCATGAAGCTACGAATATAATTTCACCTAAAGATTAGTTACAGATGTTCAAATACAATCTTCACACACATACCTCCATTCCAGTACATGTGGCTGCAGAAACCACAGTTTGTAATACTGTATTTGCGTTTTGCCTTGAAGCATAATTGTAGCTGTTTGAACGCTACGATTTCAGGGCTTCTCAAAGCGTGTTCCAACTTTTTAACAGCTTTGGTTAATTCAATAACCTCCCCTCAGTAAGCCTTGGACGTTAGGCAGGTTGAAACTAATAACTGGAATATTACAAAATGGTAAATTATATCCAAACACCCTTATGGATGTTGTAAATCATGATAACAGACAACATTTTCCACTACGGATATCAAGCTGCATATTCTTTGGTCAATATCAATTATATACTTTATGGAGCATACAACATAAAGTTAGTTATAAAAAAGTTGATTGCAAACTTCTTACTAGTTCAACGTGATGAGGAAATCTTAGATTTCAACTTTAGTAAAGTACAGAAGTAAATCATACACGATTACAATCAAATCCTTAGTCAAGTAAATGAAACCATGAATGGTTGAAAATAATAATGCATTTGAAAATCTAATATCAATACAACTAGCATGTCTCTAAAGTTCTTTACATTATGATATTAAGTAATTTAACTTAGACACCTGATTTTTCATTAAGTCACAATTATACAATATTTACAAGGAGATTCAAAAAGACTACCGCAATTTCAATAAGATGTATTTAATCAAAGCCTTTTGTT